ACAGGAGAGAGGGAGGAGCTTCATGGAATAACCAGCATTGCAGTAGATGTCTAGAAGAGGATGCAGCAGGAAAGGAGGAAGTCTGGTGATAGAAGAGTAGTAGTTAAGGTTCTGAATTGTGAAAGAACCTGAAAAATAATCTCTTAAAATGTGGGTCCTAGAGTACAAAGTAAGAATTGACCAGAAACCAGGCTGGGCCTGATGTGTGACTCTTGGGAATCTGACTTTATCTCGTGTTTCTTATTCTTAGTGTGCAGCAACAGAGAACCAATACCAGGGTGTTTTTAAGAAAGCTTTTAGATCTTAATTTCAACTGCTTTCTAAAGAGCATGAATGACAGTTGTTTTACTTGGCCCCTGAAGAGATCTGTCGGTAGAAGTTTGTAAACTGAATGCTAGAAAAGCAAAACTGCTGTTTTGCTTTCCAAAGGAAGAAGGAATTTCCTAGGATAACTAAAGAGAAAGCCGGCAGGAATGAGAAAAGTCAGCAGAATGGCCAAATACTTCCTACTTCCTTCACAAAGAACTGACTCAAAAATATTTTCAGTGGTTGATTTTTTGTTTCCCTTTGGTGGAAGCTGCCTCACTTCAAAATCAGTCTTTAAGATAGTAGAACAATTCCTAAGGGCAAGGAAGACTGAAGAGGTACCATAGACTCAAAGCTGGCTCCCTGCGGTCTTTGCCTCCTGGTACTCACATCTCCAGGACTCAGACCTCTTCAAGTATAGTCAGGCCGTATACCTTATTTATAACTAATAAAACACAGCAAAAGTGGTAATGATAGGGTGCTAACCCCATGATTACATTTTTCTGTTTGCCAGTAGATTCATTTTGTGAGTCTATGGTAAGTCTACATGGCAATAGACTGCAGGTGTCCTCTAGGAACTATAGATGGTCTTTAGGTGCTAAGAATTGCCCCCAGTCAATAACCAGAAACTAGAGCTCTTTCCCCACAATCATATGCAATAAATTTTGCCAACATAAAATAAAAATAATAAATAAAGTATTAAAAAAAAAAAAGAACACAGCCCAGGGACAGGAGAGATGCTGAGGAAATGGCTTAGTGGTTAAAAGCACTGGCTGCTCTCGCAGAGGACCCAGGTTCGGTTCCCAGCATCCATATGGTAGCTAACAATTGTCTGAAACTCCAATTCCAGGGAATCTGACATCCTCTTCTGGCCTCCACAGGCATTACATGTCACAAGTGCAATTACTTACATGTAGGCAAAACACTCATACACATGAAATTAAAAAGAAAGAAAGAAAGAAAGAAAGAAAGAAAGAAAGAAAGAAAGAAAGAAAGAAAGAACACAGCCCCATCAACACTTAGGTTTAGTCCTATGAGACTCTTAGCAGGGAACCCAGCTACATTGTACCTGGACTCCTTATCCGTAGAAATTGAAGCAAAAAAAAAAAAAAAAAACAACTTCTAATTTTATGATTTCTTGTACAGCAATAGGAAATCAACACAAGTATAACTCACCCCCCCCATATTTCCTCATCCCCTAAGTTTACAAGTATCTCTTAATCTGTTCTCACATATTACTTCTGGGTTACATAAATTTTAAGGGAAAAAAATCACATTCAAAGCAGCTTGAGGTCCTACACACACCTGCAATCCCAGCATTAGGGAGGCAGAGGCAGGAAGATTGCTACAAATTAAAGGCCAGCCTAGTCTAAATAATGACTTATAGGACAGCCAGGGCTACATAATAAGACTGTCATAAAACAAACAAATGAACAAACAAACAGCAGCAATACCAATAAGACAACTTGGGAGAATGGTTTTGGGGGTGTGAGATTATAGGCAGAAGGCTAGCAAGGGCCTACGCTAAGGAAACCATACTGCCATTTACCAAGCTAAGAAACACAGGTTTCAAGAGAAATATGTTGAGCTCATTTGAGATATGGTTAAGTTCCAAGTATCTGTAGGTCCCTTCAGGTGAAGTGATCTAGTAAACTTTAGTACTGACTTGAGAGATGTGAGTGGATTTAGCAAAATTCACATTTTCCTGGTCAAAATACTTTACAACCTGACAGTCACCTACACTTTCAGTAATCAAGTCATCGTGTGTGTGTGTGTGTGTGTGTGTGTGTGTGTGTGTGTGTGTGTTCTATCATTCACGGAGCTAATGCTCCCCAAACAAGAATTACATATTCACATTTGTGAGTTTTTGCTCAGGTGGCTCCCTTTAAATAAAATGCATTTCCCCTTCATACTTACTTAATGAAAATCCTACTCACATTTAAAATGTGAACAGTGGGAGGGGGCTGGAGAGATGGCTCAGCGGTTAAGAATGCTGGTTGTTCTTGCAGAAGACTAGGTTTCAAATCCCAGCACCCACAAGGCACCTAACAACTGTCCATAACTCCAGTTCCAGGGGCTCCAACAGCCTCTTCTGTCCTCCACCAACATTGCATGACACAGGTGCACTTACCTACATGCAGGCAATACGCTCATACACATAAAAATAATAAATAAAATATTTTAAAAAGAGAAATTATTTTTAAAAATGTGAACAAGGTTCTTTGTTCCCAGATACATCTCAAAAACCAAGAACAGCATCTGATACATAGTAAGCACTTTTTAAATGCTTCTTGATTGAATGGATAAATGTCATGCATAGTCATACCTTAACTCTCTTCCCAGTCAGAATAAATACTAATGTAGTCTATATCAGGTGCTTACTAAATGCTTGCTGATAAGCAGTACAACTAAGAACTTCTAATTCTGAACAAATGAGGAAAAGAAAATGTAGCTTGAATAGGAAAAGTAAGACATGAAGTTTAGTTCTAAGATCACTGGACATATACTCACTAAACACCTAGTATATGCATTATGTAATTGCTTACCCCAAGCCATTCCCCACTGCCTTTTTTATGTTACAGAAGTTGAAGTAGATGCTCATTTTCCAATCTTTCTTTGTAGCTAGGGGTGGTCTTGTAACACCTTTCTGCAAGAGGAAATCTACTAAGTGGGTGACTTGAGAAACATAACATCTTTCCTGACCAGGTTCCAAGGGATGGATCCACACCCAAGAACATTTGGGAAACACGAAGTGAACTCCATAGGCCTTTAAAATAGGAAAATAATAATAGAGGACATGGAGTGGGGGAGTGTGGTAAGGTAGGAGTAGATATGGGAGAGAGGTCTGAATGTAACCAAAATATAGTGTATGAAATTCTCAAAGAAGCAATAAAAATATTTTGAAGAGCCCTATTAATCTGTTATTCCATTACTTGTAGCTAAAATAGTCCCAAAATAATTTTAAAAAAGGTTTCTAAAAACCTAGTTGACAATATAATCTGATAAATACTACTACTTACAAATTTACTTAGAAAATCATATTGATTTTAAACTGCATTTTTGAAAATATCTGTGTCTTGATATGCGCATCACGAGTTACAGCTTAGCTTGAGACTATGCTGACAGTCTTCACCACTCCTTCTGTTAAACCTCAACTTGCGGAGAATTGTGCCAAAAATGAGGAAATGGAGGTTTCAAAAGAGCATGTTTGTCAACTCTTATTTCAGAGATAAGCCTAGTAAAATGCAAATTAAATGAGTAAAATACAGAAAAAACATAAATTAGGATCAGTAAAATTTCCAAATGTATTCACCCACAAGTTCCAAAGAAATTGTATTCCAACAATGTGTTTTTTTTTTTTAAAGGAAAGCAGGAATTTTTTATTTGTGGACTTTGCAAAAGACTAGATTAGTCATAGTAAAATGATTACACAATTCAGTGCTTGCTTAAAAACAGACACCTCGACACCACTCACAGTGTTATTTCTCAAAGTTGTTTAAAAAGTATGAGTGCTTTTCTCTGTTACTCCTGCTGAATGTGCACAGCCTGAGTAGTGTTGTAAGTTACCTTCATAAATAGATAACATTCCCAATTATCAGTTCCTGGAATGTTTGGATCAAAGGAGAAATTTTCAATTAGAAACCAACAGTGTAATAAAGAATAATCCTGAGTTTTCAATAGATAAAAGAAAATGTTTATTAAAACTATTTCTAGGGGCTGGAGAGATGGCTCAGTGGTTAAGAGCACTGACTGCTCTTTCAGAGGACCCAGGTTCAATTCCCAGCACCTATATGGCGGCTACGGACCATCCTTAACTCCAGTTCCAGGGAAATCCTATGCCCTCTTCTGACCTCCGCGGCATTACACGACATGGGTGCATTCATATACATGCAGGCAATACTCTCACACACATTAAATAAATAAATAAATAAATAAATAAATAAATAAATAAATAATAGAGACAGAAACAGCAGAATTCTCTCATTTTTTTTCTTCACAGGTACTATTTAGTAAGGAAATGTTTGTTAAGACTAAGAATATAATCAAAACTTCTTGGACTTAGAGAATCCCTGTCCTTTAAGAAGCTTTCATTAAGGAGCTGCAGAATAGTATTCAGGCACATACAGATAAATACAGGCAGAAGCCTTCTAATCTATATTTGAACAGCTTTGTTACAGTTGAATCTATCAGGAAATACTGGTGGTAGGGAATCCCAGGGGATGGTTTTGTCTGTTTATTGAGGAGCTCCTTCTAAATCCCATGCCACTGGAATGGTATTAGTCATTCCCATGTGAGACAAATATATAAAATTTAGCATAAATAATAATTGCAAGCACTAACAAAGTGTCAGACTAAAACAAAAGAAATGACAGAGCAGGATCATTCTGTCTGATTTGGTGCTGGAGGCTGAACACAAGGCCTCTTGGGCTATACAAGTTCTTGTGAAGCAAAGTATAATTTTCTTCAAAAATAAAGAGTTCACGTCCTTTCTCTTAGTATTATGATCTTTTCACTTACACATAATATTTCAGACATTTGGGTATAGACTGACCAACTTTTACAGGAATTCCTGCCAAAATAAAAAAATATTAAGAAGGGTCATTATCATTGAAATAGAAAATTAGCAATATTTATATTAAAATAATTAGAACTGGGGCATTCAAAGACTGTGAGACAAAAAAATGTATACTTACCTCAGCCTTGTAAATGGATAGTTCTTCATTCACAGTAATTCCCCCAAACAGTTCAGACGTCTATCACCAGGTGATTGATAAACTGGGATTCTACAGTCATATTCTCCTAAAAGATGTGTCCATTTGGAACCTATGAATGTGACCTTTGGAAAAAAGGTGTTTGTAGATACAATTAAGAATCTTGAGATGATATTATTGACTAAGGCAGACACTAAGTCCAGCAACACTGTCCAATGACAAAGATGCAGGAAGTAGGTCTATAAGACACCGGCAGAAGCTGGAATTATACTGTCACGGACAAGGAACACTTGGTGCAGCAGAGGCTGGAAGAAACAAGGAGAGAGCCCTGGGGAGAACTGCTAAAGCGATGTCGCCAAATAAAGGAAACGGGCCTCATGCTCATTTTGGAAAGACTGATCATCAAGTGTAGAGGTGAGCACATCCCTAGACTTGTGCACTTTGACATCATGCTTCTTCATATATCACATGTTAAAAAAACGGCAAATCCCCTAAGTGTAGGATTAAGCAATATATGAGATTATTATGAACAAAGTTCACTCTGTATCAGAAGAATGAGTCAGAGTGACTGAGCAATTTTGTGGAATGCGACCCTGTGGCCTGCAGGTTGTTCACGACCAAAAGTAAACTTTTCTCAATATAATCTCATACATGGAGATGTTCTCATTTGCCAAACTTAAACACGTGAGTTTGAGGACTATGGCAAAATGAACATGTTCTGGAATGTGCCCACTTCTACATATGATGAGCAGTCTGACTTTCAAAAATGAAGATGCATGACTTTCTCTAATGAAAGCCCCTTGCTTACTTTGTTTGGTGAGAGACATTGCTTGGGGAGTTATCCCTAGTGCTCCCCTTACTTGTACAACAAGCAATAAATCTCTCTGCACTCTTTTATATCCTAATTGTGTGTATTTGCTCTATGTTCACCAAGAGGTGAATGCACTATGTTCAGTTAAAGTCCTGAGGGAGAGTGCACCAGACCATAATGAGGGCCTAGAAAACTTGGTTGTATTCTTGCAGGCACAATTATCCAAAGGTCCAACTGGATGACTTGGGGACCCTGGGGTAGGAGTCTCTGAAATTAGAATGTGAAGGCTATCAGCCAGAAAGGGCTTTTTACCACCCTTGGAATAAAATCCACAATCCTTAAAAGAGTCCACCAGTACCCTGAATAATGTGGTTACCTCTATGTCTTTCTTCTTTTCCCACAGCTTTCTTTAACAAGAGGGACAAGATCAATGTTGACTTTCAGAAAGATTCTTCTGGCAGAAGTCTGGGACAGCCAGAGCAGGCAGAGAGTAGTCAGGGGCCACCAAGATAATTTAGGCAATAAACCATTTAACAAATTCCTGAACTAGGTGAGTGACAGAATGAAAAAAATCAATTCCAGGATAAATAAAATGTTCATTATTAACCCAATGGCATACTACATATAGCAACAAAAATGACTGATGGCTACATATAGCATGAATGAGTGCTACAAGCACAGTGCAGACACAATAGGATATACACAGTATGATTTCTTCTATGTGAAGCTCAAAGCAGGGAAATAACTATCAAATAAGGACAAACAAGGAAATAATTGTCACAGGTGTCAAGTTTATGATCACATGACCTTCATGGAGTAGAGACATTTTGGGGGCTTCTGGGTACTGTAATATTTTAGTCATTTTCTTTTTCGCCTTGGTTGATGGTGGTAATGAGTGATAGCTGTGCGGTGAATATATATATATATATTCTGATATATATATATTGATCTTTCCCTTATTTAGATAGATAGACATACATAGATACATGCATCCACACATATGCACATTACTTATATGTTCTCTGTAATGTCATATCACAATTTAAAACAAAGTCCAAAGGAAAAACAATATTCTACAGAAACTGTTGAGGTATACTTAATACAGACTAAATTAGAATATGGAATGCAAGACAGAGGAATTTGAACCAGACTGTCCTGGGTTCAGATGCTGATTCTGTTACTTAATGGTGGTATGACTTAGAACCAATGATATAACTTCTTTAAGTCTTAAGTCTGATTAGAAGAACTATTACTGTAACTAAAATCATTATGCCTTTGTTTTTCCACCACTCCCTGATTGGTCAGCTGGTAAATCTCACTCAAATTACTAAACTCATCGCATGTATTTTAATTTTCTGTACTTTACTAATGGCTATGAGTATCTTGACATGTCACGTGGCTTGTGTTTCTCTAACACTGATAAATCATTTAAGTGGCGGATATTAAGTTGTCTGCTTCCCTAGCCCAGTGGCTCTCAATCTTCTTTGTTACATTCTTTTGACAGCTTCATTAAAACACAGCATTCTAGGCTCTACTTTCAGAGTTCTGATTCATAGGCATGCAGTTAAGGCTTGAAAATGGCATTTCTAACAAGCTCTAACAAGTTCCCAAATGATCTTACTGCTTCCGGTCTGGGACAATATAACAAGAATTGTGAGTTTACCCCCAAATGGGACAAGCTGGAAAATCAAGTCCCTGTTGTTGAAAGTAGAAGCTTCTTTATTCTTAGGCTCTCCAAGCACGAGAGCGAGACTGTTCTCTCAGATAGCGTATCTCCTTTCCTCTCAGATGGAAGTCAGCTTTCCCAAACTGCAGGAGCCATATGTCTTACACCTACCCTCTCCTGTGGAAAGATCATGTCTGTCCTCAAAAGCACCCATTGGTTCCAGGTGCTGTGGCAGTTCTAAGAGAGGGGAGGGCAAAGATCAGGAAGATGCTTTCAAGTCATTTGCTTCCCAGAAATGCCCATGAGAGTTAAAAGAAATTTTAAAAAGCACAATGCTCAAGACATTCTGAGCATCTAACATGTTAGCTGTTACTGTTATGACCTGAACTTTCTTAGAGTAGATGTTTGCAAATATAGAGCATGTGATAAGCATATTTGTCAGGAAGGTTAACAGCTTAGTAAAGAAGAAACATTTTAATGCTTATTACATTTATTTTCATACTTATAAATTTTAAAATCATGACCTAATGTTAAAATTAAGTAATTTTAAAAAATGGAAATGAAAATCTGAGAGACAAAGAAAACAACACATAATAAGTTTCTGGAACACTTTTGGGAAATGGAGTTGTGACCCACTTTGAGATCTAACTAGAAGGCATCCCAAATGTCAGCAGCTGGCTGGCTCATGGAGACTAGTTTTTGGAGAACAGGCAGTAAGCGCATGTTAGGCTTGTGATGTGCTTTGGCAGCAATTCGTGGCAAACTTCTCTCATTCTTTAAACACATGGTTCCAAAGTTACTAAACAAAGTTTTCTGAACCTTGACTTGGCCTCCCTTGGGGAAGGGTGGAGGGGCTTATTTTGCAACACCTCATTAATATTTCAGGGTTTTGTTTTCTACACACATACAAACACACACAAATTTCCTTTTAGGCAGGGGTTTTTTTTTGTTTTGTATTGTTTTTGTTTTAGCATAATCTTATTTAACGCATATCTCAGTTATTCATCCAAAATATTATTTCTATGATTTATAATGATTTATATACTTAACAATACCCTGACACATTTACACAGTTTCTATAAACTGCATAGACTACAAGTAAAAGCAAAAGGAGAAAAGTCTATGTAAGTCAGGTGGGGTGATTTACATCTTTAGTCCCAGCTCTTTGGAAGCAGAGGCAGAAGTAGAGGCAGGAGAATTGCTGTAATTTTGAGGCCAGCCTGATCTAGTGAACTCCAGCCAGCCAGGGTGATAGCGATACCCTATCTTTTTTTAATTTTAATTTTTACTTTTATTTTATGTGTATGTATGTATTGCCTGCATGTAGGTAAGTGCACCCATGTCGTCCAATGCCTGCAGAGGTCAGAAGATGCTGTCGGATCCCAGGGACTGGGGTTACAGACAGTTGTTAGCTGCCACGTGGGTGCTGGGATTCAAACCCGGGTCTTCTGCAAGAACAACCAGCGTTCTTAACTACTGGGCCATCTCTCCAGCCTCAAAGATACCCTATCTTTTAAAAACAATGTTTTTTAAGTCTATATCAGAAGTTGGGGAAATAGGGCCAGTGAGATGGCTCAGTATGACAACCTGAGTTCAATCTATAGAACCCACAGTAAAAAGAGAGAACTCACTCCTGAATGTTGTCTTTTGACCTCCAAAGGTGTATGGTAGCACTGTGTTCCCACTACACACACACACACACACACACACACACACACTCACAAATAAATAAGAAACGCTTTTTAAAAGATGGGACTGTATCTCAGTAGTAGAGTGCTTGTCTGGCATGTGTGAAGTCCTAAATGCAATCCCAGTACTTTCAAAAAGGTTAAAAAACACATATAAACTTAGCTGCATTTACTAAAAATTACAGAATATATATTTATTGATAAAACATTAGAAACCAACTTGTGGTTTTCCTTTCTTTTCTCTTTTATAAGATTTCCTTTATTCCTGAAATATTTCAAACTTACTTTATTATATGTAAATTTATGCTTCAGTTTGTAAAAGTTCATTAAAAATATTTCACCTTAGGCCATACTTGTTGGTACACACCTTTTATCTTAGCACTTTGGGATCTCTGTGAGTTCAAGGCCAGCCTCGTCTACATAGTAAGTTTCAATCCAGCCAGTACTACCTAGTGAGACCTTGTCTCAAAAAAAAGTTTCACCCTCCTAAAACCCCCCAAACTCTACAAACACACATAAAAGTTAATGCTAAACTAGCATGATGAGCACTAGATTCACTATAGTAGCATTACTTGCCTTCCTCTCTCTTTTCCAGAACTATGTGATCACAGGAAACTAAAAACCTCTGTACAGCTAAGAACACCATCATTGGAATGAAAAGATAGTCTAGAGAATGAAAGAAAAAAAATCTTTACTAGTTATATATTTGACAGAGGATTAGTATCTAGAATATACAAAGAACCAAAAAGCTAAACATAAAAGAATAATCAAAAATTGGATCAAGGAACCAGAGATTCTCAAAAGATGAAATTCAAATGGCTGAGAAATATTTTTTTTTAATGTTCAACATCTTTAGCCATCAGGGAAATGCAAATTGAAACTGCTTTGAGATTTTTATCTTACTCCAGTCAGAATAGCTAAAATCCAAAATACAAATGATGACAAATGCTGGTGAGGATGTGGGAAACAGGGAGCATGTAGCACTGATAGTGGGAGTGAAAACTGCTGCAACCACTGTGGAAATCAGTGTGGGGGTTCCTTAAAAAGCTAGAAATAGATCTACCACATGATCCAGATATATCACTCTTGGGTATTTATGCAAAAGGCTTTGTATCCTAGCATAGAGATACCTGTTCATCCAGGTTCATTGCAACTCTATCCACAGCTAGATGTTCATCAACTGATGAACGGAAAATGAAAATAAATATTCAGTTGTTAAGAAAAATGATATGAAAT